GCAGGCCTGGGTACTTTAGCCAAAAAGATCAAGGTGCCTTAGGGGTCTGCACTGCCGAGACTGGGGCCACTTAAGAGCAGCAGCCCAATTATCTACATAAACACAGGCCATAAGGGGTGATTAGCTGTGATTTCAGTGGCTGACAATGGCCAAGAGCTTAGACTTGGACGGGTTGAATTCCTTGCTATGACATGTATTGGGGGTGGAGGGGAATTTGGTATAAAGGGAAGGAGGATGCAGGCAGAATGAACCTGGGAAGGAAATAACTGCTTTAAAAAAAAACAAAAAGCAAGATAGTGCAGTTGGCGGAGAGCTCAAGGTCAACAAAGTTGTGGTCAGACCTGCGTCAGACCCCAATGACCCCGTCCTTTACTTGTCTGGGCTGTTTCACTCTCACTAAGGTGACTTTCCTGCCCCAGGGTGGCTGAGATGGGCAAGCACTCTGCATCATCACTGGCTACCATGCTTCCTCAGCCCCGGAGCATTGTGGTCTTACAAGTGGCAATGGTTTTCTGTTTCCATCTTTCCTGAGCCTTAAAGAATGCAATCAGACTCTAAGAAAACAGGTTTTGGGGCTGGCAATTCTGCGTAGCAAGCTTAGCCTCCACCTGCAATACCAGTGTTCCATATGGGCACCAGTTCAAGTCCTGACTGCTCCACTTCCCACGCAGCTCCCAGCTAATGTGCCTGGGAGAATAGAGGAGGATGGCCCAAGTGTTTGGGCCCCTGTACCTACACAGGAGACTCAGAGGAAGCTACTGACTTGTGGTTTTGGACTGGTCCCATTCCAATCCTGTTCTGCACTTACTCTTAGCCAAATGGCCAAGAAGTGATACTGGCCATTGCAGCCATTTAAGGAGTAACTCTGCCTTTCAAATAAAAAAAGAAAATATAACTTCTAGGCCACTCTGCTGCAGTTCCAGCATTGGCAGAACTCTCCTGAACAGTTTGGCAAGTTTGTATCAAGCCTTCTCAGCATTTTGAAAGCCCCCTGAGAAAGCACTCTGCTTTTGGGGATTTCCATGGAACCCATCACAGTCACGTGTGCCTCTGTAGCCCGGGGCTGTCCCACACAGCATTGCTTATCTGCAGCGTTCAAAAATGGAAAACCATCAAGTGTCCATCAACAGGGAGAACCAGCAAGGAGAGTCAGTCCGCAGCTGTACACTCTTCAGAATAATGCTTATGTGTAAACCACTTGCAAATCAGTGAATTACTGGGATGGAGAGAGGTAGATGATGATGTTATCTGTGTACCATTTTACAGAGGGAGAAGGATGCTTAAACACAGGAAAGTGACTAGATGTTTTATCAAGGTGAACAAGCTTTTAAAAATTATTTTAATTTGACATGTAGGAAACAATATGAAAAAATAATAGTCTTTCCCACTTTCCTGTAGCCCTTGAACCTTTTTACCCTAATTAACTATGTAAAGATTGTCAAAATATAATTTTTTAAAAAGATTAAAAAATTATTTTAATTTTGAGGTTTTTGTAGTGGGATTTACTAGAGGTCCCCCCCCCCCACACACACAATTTTGGTCTGAATTGTAAAATATGAATACATATTCATCTTCTTGGGAAAGGAACCCTTGATTTCTGAGGATGTCTGTGGGCTGGCCCATTCACATCTCCTTGTGTCAGCCACAGAGGTGGCCTGGGCTGTGGAGGTGCCACAACCCCCTCTCACCATCACTCTGAGCAGGTGTAACCATGTGTGTTTTCAGCCCCAGTCAGTCTCTCGCACGGGCACCTGGCTTCCCTAAGACCCAGAGCGCATCCTCCGGGCTCGTCACCCCCTTCACCCTGCCCCCCAGCTCACACACGCTCTGTGCCCCAGCAGCTGACCCCACTGCAGGAAGCTTGAGTCCCTGCCACTTCCAGACCCGCTGCATTCTCCCTCGCCCACAGGGAGGGGTGAGCTCCTGCCAAACCACAGAAATTCCCTTCCTTGGTGATTTTTGTTTGTTTGTTTAACTCCACAAACATGATTGGGCACACTCCCTCCTTTCCAGATCTTTCTAGAGCCCCGCCCGTGCTCTCCCATGGCCCATGCTGAACGCAGCAGTCCCACCTGTCGCACACCTACCCCTGCCTTCAGCCCTCTACTCCTGGGTGCCTAGTGGCAGCACAAGGAATGCCCTTGATTTTCACTTTCCATCTTTCCTCTTCAAGTCCAATGGCTCTTCTTGCCCTTAAGAATTTCCTCCATCTGGCTCCTCAGCCTGCCAGGACCCACCAGACAGGAGGGCGTGTGGAAGGGGGTAGGAGGAGGAGAGCAGGCAAAGGACATGCAAGTACTGGGGGGACGTGAGGGCTGGAGGTTCCTGGATAGACAGCCACGGCTATAGTTTGGTGGTGGGCTTGGTTCAGCAGCCACAACATGAGGGAAAGATTGTGGCTCCCCAGTAGGAGGCACCAGGGAGTCAAGGTTGATGAGGGACCCCCCTGTGGGAGTGTTCAGACCTCCAGAAATGCCCAGCATGGGAAGAGATGGGACAGGCTACCCTCCGTGGCATAGCATAGACTGTGACAGGTGCCTGCAGTCCTCAGGAAGCGACCCATTCCAGGATGTGGGGGAGCCTGCAGCAGGAATGGAGGTGGGAGCAGCAGCAGAAGCTGGGGTAGTGGTCGGGGGGGGCACCTTTCTGGAAGCCTGACTTTGAAGGGAAGACTGGAAGATTCTGGAACATGGGAAGTACAAAGCTTTGGCTGTTGTCCTCTGTAGGGAGTGGAGAGACCTACACAGGACTTCCTCTGACTGGGACCCACGCCCAGTGCACTGGGAGGGAGCTAGCCCAGGGCGCCCCCGAATCTCACTGCTCTCTAAGATGCCCCCTGCCCTGCCCCATCTCCAGGGCACACAGCGCTTGATGTTGTATGAGTGGCTGCCTCACACTGACTAGCCCTGCCGCCCTGCCCACAGTCAGCAACAGCCCTGCCCTGGCCCAGGCCTGCAGCTAAAGGGCGAAGCCTCCCACACAGTCCCCCCAGCCCCTCCAGGGGCCCACTCTGCTGCCATCTACACACTTGGGGACCTCACTCCAAATGTTGTGAGGTTCTAGAACATGCTGGGTCTGCTCCCTCACCCACAAAGCTGAGGGGTGTGTGTGATGTGTGAGCGCATGTGTTAGAAGCTACCTATCGTGTCCCTGGGAACATTGAAGCTAACAGCATACTAGTGCTAATAGTGTATAACACCCATAGCTCTTATCCCATCACCAAGCCACCAAGTTACTCACCATCTGCCTCCTTCTCCACTCCCAGCTCTATCCTTCAAGCTCTCCTAGAATTTGTAAATCACTTGAAAAATTGCATTTAGATAAAATATTTATTTGAAAGTCAGACTTACAGAGAGACAGAGATCATTCACCTGCTGGTTCACTCACCAACTGGCTGCATCAGCCAGTGCCAAGCCAGGCCAAAGGCAGAAGCTTCTTCCAGTTCGTGCACGTGGGTGGCAGGGGCACAAACACTTGGGCATCTTCCACTGCTTTCCTAGGACATTAACAGGAAGCTGGATTGGACATGGAGCAGTCGGGACCTGAACCAGTGCTCATATGGAATGCCAGCATTGAAGCAGAGGTTTAGTCTGATATGCCGCAGCACTTCCGTACACTCGCTGTCTTTGTCTCTTGTTCTCAGGACATCCTGTCCCTGTCCTTTCTTTAAGCTCCTGTTTTGCTTGCAGAATGAAGTGCAAATGCATTAGCTCAGCATTGGAAGGCAGCCCCAGCCTTGGTCTTCCCTCTCCCTCGCTGCAGCTGGCCTGGCTGCCCCCTAGCTCACGCAGCTCTCACTCCAGCCCTTCGCGTGCTCCTGGCCCACTTGCCTCAGTGTTCAGCCATTCCTCTCCCTCCTGCGTGCTGTGACCCAACTCATGCCTTTTCTTTCACAACCAAGTCTGTGTTCAGACCCCAGCACCTTTCGTCTGGACCACTCCCTGCTATCACTCGTTCCTTATTTTCCACACACCAGTTCTGCCTCTGCAGCTACCCCGCACACATGTAGTACAAGGTGGCCTCTTTCTTCCTGTTTTCTGTTGCTAGGACCAAAGAGCTGACAACTAGGTTGTTTATGAAGGACAGAAATGTATGGTTCACAGTTTGGGGCCTGGGAGCCCAAGTGCGTGGCCCTGGAAGCTGACCAGAGCTGGCAAGGGGTGTGGGTGCTCTTTGTAGCATTATAACTTGGTGGCAGCATCACCTGACAAGACAGAGCAGGTGCATCAGATGGCTCTTTCCACCTTAACTTATGAAGCCACTAACACCACCACAGGATCCCCCACCCCTCAAGACCCCATTTAATCCTATTATCTACCAAGGCTTCCACCTCACAATACCACTGACTTGTGAACTTGGAAACTCAGTTTCCACCACATGAACTTCTGGGAGATCATTCATAGAACGATCATTCTATCATACCATAGAAGTAGATGCTTTAAATACTGCTTACTAATTCTGACAGCATTGCGTCAGGCTGTGGAAAAACACACCCTCATGCTCGTTAACTCCTTCCAGTCATTCATTCATTGCCTATTGCTGGGGCTTCCACCGTGGCCAGGCCGTGGGAATTAGTTGATGAGAGAGACAGAAATAGTCCCTCGTGGAAGCTTGTACTCACGTGTGGCAGATTCCCAAATAAAATACTCGTGAGAGTGGTAAGGGTCCTTTGAGGCTCTTCACCTTTTGCGCGTTCTGGATGTAGGATCAGTGAGAAAAGTTGCAGGGCTCAGGGAAATGTGCAAACGCAGGATCCCTTGCTGAACAATCTTCCAAGTTCAAGGTGACTTCCACAGAGCATTCCACCAAGCACAGCAGTAAAGCCAGCTCCAGCTCCTCCCATGCTCATGGCGGACAGAGAGCAGAGGAGTGACTGGCAATCCCGCCATGCATTTAGGTGCCGAGAGTCCTGGAAGCCTCATGGTGTGCAGGGCGGACGCAGCGTGTGCACAGGTGCGGATGGTAACGCCGGCCTCTTGTTGGTGTCTCCTGCCTTCCAGACTGCTTGTCTTACTCAGCTTTACACGTATTATCCAGAAGGTGCTACGGGAAGCAGAGATGCAAAATCCTGGTCAACAACCACCATTTCGGAAGCCCCTGTCTGCCAGGAGTGAAAAAATACCTCACTGTTACCTACGCTTGTGGTAAGAGCCAGCCCCCATGTCCACCCTCCTCCCACCCACAACCCTTACCCCTGAGCGGCTGGCGGTGGTCCTTTCCACAAAAGGAATTCATGTGGAAAAAGCCCCCAGCAGCTCCTGGCATTCTGATGAGTCATCAGGAGACCCCCAAGAACGCCACCCCTATCCTTTATTCGCATCAGATAAGTGATAGTATTGTTTAGGATATCCAGTGAGTGGTACCAGCACTCTTAGTCATCACATTGACAGCAGGTGGAGCCAGGGAGAAAACATCCTAATGAGGGGGGGAAAAGAATGATGTCACTGGAAATAGGAGTTGTCATTTTGGAGAGTGTGGGAAGTGCCAGCAGTTGATTACACAGGTGCAATGAGTGTTGTGTGGCTCCCATTAAACCACCCAGAAGTGCCAGCCACTACTCAGGCCACTCCCCCACAGCCTTGAGTCACTGTGCCTCAAATGCTCAACCTGGGGGCTGGCACAGTGACTCAGCAAGCTAGACACCCACCTACAGCATCAGCATCCCATATCAGCACTGGTTCAAGTCCTGGTGGCTCCACTTTAGATCTAGCTCCCTGCCTATAGCCTGGAAAAGCAGAGGAGATGGGCCAAGTCCTTGGGACCCTGCACCCCCATGGGAGACCTGGAAGAAGCTCCTGGCTCGGGATCAGCTCAGCTCTGGCCATTTGGGAAGTGAACCAGTGGATTGAAGGTTTTTCTCTCTGTCTCTGTAAATCTGCCTGTCAAAGAAAAACTTTTAAAATAAAAGTCTCGCCCTCAAACAATGAAAACCCCCAAACCCAACAGTATGTCTTTCTCCCCCAGCCCAGTGTCTCTAGATCAGAAAGCAAAACACCTGCTTTGCTTGGATTGCACTTCCTCAAGCTGCAAAACGTGAGAGGATAGTCATGGTTGTGTGGCGTGAACTTCCAGTCTGCCATCCTGCCTTTAAAACCTATTTATTAAGTTTAAAGGCAGAGTGACATTGAAAGAAGGAGAAGGAAGGAGGGAGGGAGAGAGAGAGAGAGACCAGTCTTGTATACTCATTTTTCATTTTGACACCTGCATATCTTCATGATGCCTCCACAAAGGTGACCCTTCCTGATGTTGAGCATTAAGCTCCAGGGAAATGCTGCAGCTCCTGGGACCATTCCCAGGAGAACTTCACTGAGCACGTCCTGGAAAAGGAAGTGAGGTTTTTCTTGTAGTTGGAAAAGTCCTTCCGGTTCTCTTCTAAAGCAGTGGTATGGTCGGCCTGGCACAATTTACCTTGGCTTTGCTTCTATTCCCTGTTGCCTCTTCTCCCAGATGTCGGGAACAAACACATGAGCAGTTTTCTGCCGTGGGGATGTCTGACTCCCCTTCTCTCCTATCCAACATCCCATCTCTCTCTGGACTACCTGTTGCAGCTACTGCTGCCTCCTATGGCATGATGCCGATCCCTGAGGCCATCCTGCATCTGTCTACCCATGGTGCTTTGCTTCTTTCTTACATTCACTCTAGCATGGATATAAACATGTCATTCCAGATGAGTCTGGAAGTGAAGACACAGAGAGCTGGAGTAAAGGTTGGGGGGAGATGGGGAGAGTGGTCAGGAACTGGCCATGGTCATTGGCTTTGCTACCTCATAGAGGAGTTCATGCTGCCAGTTACATGTTAGTTATGTGCCTTAAAATACACACATACTAAGAGTGTGTTTCAGTGGTTCACAGGAGAATTAGGGCTCTGTCACTGCAGCCTAGTGACTAAAGTCCTTGCCTTGTATGCGCCAAGATCCCATATGGGCTCTGGCTTGTGTCCCAGCTGCTTCACTGCCCATCCAGCTCCCTGCTTGTGGCCTAGGAGGCAGTCAAGGATGGCCCAAAGCCTTGGGACCCCACATGAGAGACCTGGAAGAAGCTCCTGGCTCCTGGCTTCAGATGAGCTCAGCTCTGGCCATTGCAGCCATTTGGAGAGTGAATGGGTGGATGGAAGATCTTTCTCTCTGTCTCTCCTTCTCTGTGTAAATTTGCCTTTACAATAAAAATAAATAAATCATATATATATATATATTTACACATATTAAAGAACAATAACAGTAGACTTTGAATTCTACAAATATCACTACACTCTGCCTTTGAAACCCTTCCACAGCCCCAAGAGGCTCCTTGCCTCCAGTTACAAACACTTCCGTTTTCTACTCTGATGCTATGAACAAATCATCTCCTTTTTGTCTCTAAATTCATCTTTTCTGGATGTTTCTTTATCACTAGAATGATTCAGGCAACAGAGGACTGTGTGTGTTTGTGTGTGTGTGTAGTATATACTGGTCTGAGGTCCACCATGGCCACATGTATCAGCCCTGAGTCTTTTTTGTTACTCAGTGGTGTTCCGTTGGATGCATGGACGGCCTCTAGCGTGTCTCTTCTACATATGCTGGCAAAATGAGCTTAGATGATCTCCTGGTTACCATGGGGCACTGGGCATATGGGTGCATATATAACAGGAAGAGTAACAATATAACAATTTTGAAAAGGTCTTTTTTTTTTTTTAAATTATTTGACTATTGAGTTAGAGCAAGGAAGAGGGACGAAGAACTCTTTGCTGGTTCACTCCTCCAGATGGCCTCAATGGCCACAGCTGGGCCAAAGTCAGGGGTCAGGAGCTGCTTCTGGATGATTTCTGTTGTGTATTTAGGGCCCAAGCACTTAGGCTGTCCTCTTCTGCTTTCTCACGCACCTTACTAGGGAGCTGGAAGCTGAGTGGCTGGGACTCGAACTGGCACCCTTATAGGATGCCACTATTGTAAGAGGCGGCTTTACTCATTGTACCATAGCCCCTGAAAGAGATTTTTTTAAGCCCTATTTACGTGGTACTCAACTAATATGCTAAGCATACAGGTTTTAAAGATAGCAAGTGTTTAAAAATCTTTCTTTTTGGTTTTTAGTTCCGAAGAACATCCTCACAGCGATTGATCCCGCAATTGCTAACCTCAAACCCTCTCCAAAGCAGAGAGATGGTGAGTGTGGGGGTGTGTATGCCCCTCCCTCAGCATTCGTCTTTAAGGACAGGTCACCAGCCACCAGGACCCCAGCCCGGCGCTGGGCAGAAGGCACACGAATGACAGCAGGGGCCTCGGAGCCGCTTGTTCTGCTCATGGCTGTGCTGTACCTAAAAGTTACCATTGATGGCCAACCTTTGGTTTTATTTTGAGTTTTTAAATTCAAAGCCATCTAAACCTTCCCTCCATTTTCCTTTCACTTTCTGGAGGAAAATCATTTTCAACAAGAGGTGTGCTCAGCAGTAAATTGGGGGTTCCTGGATGATAGAATAAACTTGCTGCCAAGCTGATGCCGTCAGGAACTGGGCTGGACCTACCGCCTCCCTGCCCCAGCCATCTCCACTCCTTGTTGTCACTTCCTTAAAACATTCTGGTTTCTTGTCAGTGCCGGGATGAAACTCAGACACATGAGATTCCAGAAGACACTACAGAAACCCAGCAGAGCATCTGAGGTGTTAAGATTTGGGTGGCAAGAAATTTGTCTTCTGTTACTATTATGATATTTATTAGGTGTAACTTCTTTAAGTGTTAAGAGAGAAGGACAGTCACCTGTCAGTGCTGGGGGATTGGGAAGTGGTGTCAGGATCCCTTTCCCTCTGTACCAAAACCCTCATATGCTCCAGTTGCTTGCATCAAATGGTGTCACATTTGCATACAATCTCTGCACATGTGTCCTGTGGTTTGCTCCTCTCTGATGATCAACATACCTTGCACTATGTTAACACTATGCCTAATGGCTCAGGGAATGATGTCAAGAAAGAAAATCTACCCATCTTTGGTTCCAGACCCAGAATGTTCCAATCCCTGGCTGGCCCCAAGGATGGGAAACCCAGCGGCAGAGAAAGCTGATGCTTGCTTGTGTGTTTACTGGCTTGATTCCCTAGTCTCTTTCATCATTTCACATTTACTGGGCCTGCCTTCTGTGTGCTCTCACTGGCTTCATCTTTTGTGATCCTGTTTGACTTCTGTGACTTTCAATGATCAAAACAGGGCTGGGTCGGGAGCCGCAGGGATGCTTAGGACAGGTGAGCCCTGAGGTGCTGGGACTGACTGGTCTTGCATTTTTTATGAAACAGGTGTCAGCTTCAACCCGAGTGAGTCGAAGATTCTAAGGAAGGATGGGGTGATTGTCAGCAACTCTCTGGCAGCGTTTGCTTACATCCGGGGTACGTCAAGCTACTGGGCTCCTGAAAGTCTGCTGAATGAACATACCACTGCATTGTGACATTCAGATAATGATGGGGGCATAACTTGTTTTTAACAAAATCATTGCCTGTATTTGAAAAGCAGAGTTACAGACAGAGAGAGGGAGAGAGATCTTCCATCTACTTTGCATGCCCCTAAATTACCACAAAGGTTCTCTGGGCATTCATCCTCTTTGAAACATGGGAACTAGAGGAGTGCATTACCCAGCCTAGAATTTGAAAAGGCTGTAGGATGCTTGGATTCCACCTGCTCTGAGGACAAGTGAGTCAGGAAATTGCAGAGTCAGCAAAACATGGTGCCTCTTTTCTGAGGGACTGGTGTTATTTCCCATGGTTGCCGAGCTTTCTTGGTTCATCTTTCCTGCAAAGAACAGAGAGACGAGACACAGGCTGCCGGTCCTCTTGGGTGAGAGGACGTGTGAGCAAGCTTTCCTCCCTGCCTGTTCTGTGGATCTTGAGAAGAACTACATTGCAGAAATACCAACAGTGACCCTTAACCACACCTGCCTGACTCTAGGGAGGCAAAACCCCCTGAGACCTTTGGTAACATACGTGTCATTTCTTGTACCCCAGAATTGCTAGGTAAAACCTGTTAGAGCTGGGGTCTATTTGGGGTTCAGGAGGTGGCCTCACAAAGCTCATGGGAAAATGGGGCTGAAAGATGAGTTCATTTTGATGACAAAAAATGCTTGAAATCCGTGCATTTTTAAAAAGTAATATGCATTCCCGTGAATGACTTAAAGATCCCTTACGTCTTAGAACAGGAGGCAGAATCTTGTGAGCCTCTGCAGCCTCTCCCCCCGTCAGCATCCCTCCTGAGTGTTTGTCATCTGTTGGGGTTTGTGCTGCCAGTCTGCTCTTTTCTAACCATCCACACAGGTCTCTGTTTTGCTCTGCCTGGTCATTGCCAAAGTTGCGAAAGCTGAGGACTTTGGCTGTGAGGTGTACTCTCGGACTTTGCAAATTCCCAAAAGACCTCTGGGGGAAAAAGGCATGGCGTGCATTCTTCCAGCAGAGAATAAGGATGTAAGAGGCATGACGTCAGGTTTACTGGCTGAGCTGCAGGAAGGTGCCCCTTGGGTTCCTGTAGCAGGGGGCTTCCTCCGACCACCAAGCTCGTGGTAGCAAGATTCCATAGACTGGGAGGCTGCGGACAACAGCATTTATTCTCTCATAGCCCCATAGTCCATCCTCAAGTTCAAGGTACTAGCTGATGTGAATCCTGCTGAGGACTCTTCTTCCCAGCTTGTGGATAGCTAGCTGCCTTCTCACCATGACCTTAATGGAGAGAGAGAGAGAGATTCTTGTCAAGTTACTAGTCCTATGGAGATGTAACCCATTACCCTCTTTACTGTCATTAGCACCTGAGAGTCCTGGCTCCAAGTTCAGCCAGGTGTTGAATTCAACTCGCGTTGACATGTGAGTCCGGGCAAGGGGGAGGCCAGCCAGTCCATAACAGTACTCAGCAAGAAGGAGCCCCAAGCGCAGAGTACCCTGGCTGAGCTGAGAGTCTGTGGACACCATGGAGAGTGGCAGGGCAGAGCCCCCCATACAGAGTCATGCTCTGGGCTCTGTGAACGAGAATTTGTGCCCCTGGGGATTCCCTGGGACCAGAGGCATCCTGTACTTAAGTTATCTAGTCCAACTCTGCAGTTACAGAGAGAGAAAGACAGAGACACACATAGAGAAAAGGAGAGAGCTTCCATTCACTGGTTTACTCCCCACATGGCTGCAATGGCTGGAGCTGGGTAGGCCAGGAGCCAGGAGCTTCTTCCAGTTCTCCCATGTAACTGCAGGGCCCCAAGTCCTTGAGCCATGCTTTCCCAGGCACATTAGCAGGAAGCTGAATCAGAAGTGGAGCAGCTAGGATTTGAACCAGCACCTTCATGAGGTTCCACAGGCAGCAGCTTTGCTCTCTGCACACAGTGACAGCCTCTGTTCTTTGGTTTTATTGAGAGAGGAGCCACGTTGCTCTCCCAGCAAGCCATAGCTGAGCCCTGGAATAAGGTCCAAGAGAACAGCTTCTGATAGATTTTTGGGTAATTCATCAGTGAGATCACCAAGTGCACGGAGGCCTGGTGGAGCACCTGCTGCTGGCCAGGCTGCAAATTTCCTAGGAAGGACCATGTTGCTGTTGGGATGACTGCCCTGGACATGCGCAGCACACAGCAGTGGGTCAGCAGTCTGCAGGTCATCACCCTGCAGTGGCCTGCGTGGGCATCAGGCCTGACCAGGTCCAGCTAAGCAGACCATGAGCCAACTGCAGGTGTCAATGTCAGGTGCCATCCTTGTTGTTCCAGAGAGCTGTCTGGCCAAATCCTCAGAGGCACCTTTGGGTCCATGGTGGGGTGTGATCGACAAGCTGAGCCTGGGTCCCTGGGAACCACCTTAACAAGAGACACTGGGAGTCAAGTTTGTGAGAAGGGCAGGGATTGGCCCCACCAGCTAACTAGTTGCTAAACTGAGTGAATCCATGGGGGCATTTTTGGCCGTCAGTGGCCTCTATATATTATATCGTCAAGTATACATGGGAGACAAACAGGCCAGAGCTCATAGCTGGTGGACTGTCCTGTGACATTGAAATATAGGTTGACAGAGGGATCTAAGCATGTCTCTGTTGAGTTGACTCAGTCCTGTGGTCACTTTAGGATCCATGAGGTTGTTTTCCCAGTGGTAGGAACCCCTGGGTATGCTTCAATATCCTCTTACATCAATGAAATTGACCTGCTCCTTGAATTCATTTTAGAATGGAGATCTCCCATTTGCTGGTTCAATTCCCAAATGGTTACATCAGCCAGGGCTGGGCCAGGCCAAAGCCAGGAGTATGGAACCCCATTAGGGTCTCCAATGTGGGTGGCAGACACCCAGGCACTTTCTAGGTATATTAGTAAGGAGTTGGCTGAGAAGTGGAGCAGCCAGGACTAGAACTGGCACTCATGTGACTGCCAGCATGACACACAGCGACTTAACCTCCCGTGCCATAACACTGGCCCCAGATTTATTGAGTTTTGCTTCCCTCCCACCTGTGGTAGCCTTGGCAGGGCTGGAACAAATGATGTGAGCCCCATCCCTGAGAGCGCCCCACCTCAGAACATAGCCTCCCACTAAGAGTTTTCTTGGGCACTAGGTGTGTGCACTTACTCATGAACACTCTTGGACTACTTTTGTAACTGAGTATTTCTGTCTCTGCCCCTACACCCTTGGGACTGTGGCAAGTATGTGTCTTTAGGTGTCTAGCAGGCTCTACTGGGGACTTTGGGTGTGTGTAGGGTACTGGGGGGTGGGCGTCACAAGTAAAGAGTCAGACAGGCCAGACAGGCAGCATCTTCTGGGTTGGGGGAGTACCACCGTTGCTGTGGAAGGTGCTCCAGGCCGGGGACAAGCCCATTGGAAATGGAAACACACCTGTGCCTTGCAAGGTCACTGTCACGCGTGCTTTCTTCAGGGGGGACCCCCAGACCCTCTGCTGCCTGGATCCTCCCAAGGACAACAGGATCCCATCAGGTGGAACCCTTATTGTGGCCTCTGGGGGAGTCTTATCTGGATAAGAATAAGTTTGAGTTAAGAGTTTGGGTCAGTCCCAGTCCCAGAATCCAGGCTGGAGAGTGACCATAACGACCATTAGCCAGGCGCAGCTGTGAAGGAGAAAGCGAAGAATCATTCACTTTAATCTATGAGGAACCAGGCTCAATTGAGGACAGAACCAGGCATGGTCCTGCCACTGTGCCTGTGCTGGGAGAGGAGGGAGGGGCCACACGTGAGCCTTGGTCCCCCAGAGGCTTGTTCACTGCCTGCAGCTAGCCCTGCCCTGTCCGTGGGCGGCAGGAAAAGGATGTCAGTGGCTGTGGTTCCGTTTCCTCTTCTGCAGCGGAGGGGCGGGGGTGAAAGTTTCCTTTCCTAGAAGGCGGAGCTGCATGTGACTCCCCTAAAGGCTAGGGAGCTGGGCACGGCAGAGTGGGAGGGGAGAGTGAACAAGGCAGGTGTGTGAGGATTAGGGAATGCAGTGCGGAGAGCAAGGGAACAGCAGATCCAGGATTAAACTCTGGATTTACCCTCTGCTGTATGATTCCTACAAACACATAGATGCTGGCTATGCTGAATGACCATGACTATGACCAGTGGGCACTGAATGCTCTCAAGGCTGCCACCCAGGACTGGCACCCTTGCTCGGTTCATTTCCCACCTGGGTAGACAGACGTTGGTTCTGTGGGTCTTGGAGGAGTAAGGGTTGTCATCGGGCTGACCTCCGACCTTGTCTTCCTCCCGTAGCCCACCCCGAGAGAGCTGCCCTGCTGTTTGTGTCCAGCGTCTGCATTGGCCTGGTGCTCACTTTGTGCGCCTTGGTCATCAGGGTGTCCTGTGCCAAGGACTTCCGGGAGCTGCAGCTGGGGAAGGAGCCCCTGGTAGCAGGCAGTGACCAGGTCGGGGATGACAGCGAGCAGGGCCAGGAGGAGGAGCACTCTTCCGACACGGATTTTCCAGGGGAGCTGTCAGCCTTCCGGAGGACTTCCTACCCTGTCTACAGCTCCCTGGAGGCGGCGGAGCTGGCTGAGAGGATCGAGCGGCGGGAGCAGATCATCCAGGAGATATGGATGAACAGCGGTCTGGACACCTCACTGCCCAGACACGTGGGCCAGTTCTACTGAGAGCCAGCCGCGTCAGTGCAAGGCCGTCACACTCCCTCGGGAAGGGAGGATCTGCCCTGGTCCTGTGTTTGTGCCCTGTGCCTTCTGTGAAGGAGAAGCTAGCCTGGCGTCTGGGACCTGTCAAATTGTTTACAGCATATGCCCAAATAAACCGGGACAAAGGGAGACACCTTTGCCTCCTGTCTTTATTTGAAGCCATGTCTGCCCGTGGTGCATCAGCCTACACGCCAGTAGCATCTGCCTGTGCCGGAGCCGTCACGCTGCCAGGTACTGGTCTGTGTCCTTGTCTTAGGCTGAGCCGTGTTTGCCTCACAGCAATGTCCTGACCTGCAACTTCCATCCGCATGTTGCAGAGAAGTTGGCAGAAGGTGCCAGTGTGCCCACTGAGGAATCAGACCCATATGACGGCCAACGTGATGTAAGATGAAAATCAGAAGTGAGTTTAATCTCTTACATGATTTGTTTATTATATATTTAGAGCAAGAGGCAAGAATACCCTTTAAAATTTTTGCTTATTTATTTATTTATTGTTAGGCAGATTTTACAGAGAGAAGAGATAGAAAGAAAGATCTTCTATCAACTGATTCACTTCCCCAAGTGGCCACAGTGGCCAGAGCTGAGCCGTTCTGAAGCCAGGAGCCTCTTGCGAGTCTCCCATGTGGCTGCAGGGTCCCAAGGCTTTGGGCCATCCTCAATTGCTGTCCTATGCTTCAAGCAAGGAGCCAGATGGGAAGTAGAGCAGTTGGGACATGAACCAGTGCTCATAAGTGATGTGAGCACGGTTTGAAGGTAGAGAATTAGCTTGTTGAACCATAGTGCCTTGCAGGTCACATGGTCTCCACTACAGTCACTTAGTTCCACAATGGCAACTCCATGGCAACCATCAGTGACACATAATGAATGCACCTGCCAGTGTCCCAGCAAACTTGTACGCATGGCCACTGAAACTGGAATTTCATTTCATTCTCACATGCCATGCATTCTCCTTCCTTTTTGTTAATCAAGCAAAACTGTTCTTAGCACCAGGGGTGTTTGAAAACAGACAGCAGACTGGGTGTGACCGTAACCTGTTGTTGTTAAGAATCCAGGGTCTCCAAGACTTAAACTATTTACTTTCTTGCCCTGAACAGAATACGTTTGCCAAGAAAAAGAGGTGGAAGCCAGAGAACCCGAGTGCCCCAACCAAGAATAGTGGAGTCAGGTTTCCAGTCATTGTAATCTTGAATACTGCTGGGGAGAGAGGGCAGATGAAGGAACAGGTGGAAGAAGAGTTAAGGACAGCAGGTTTCCATTGAGAGAGCTGGTGACAGGTTCCTCAGGCTGGACGGGAGGCCTGGAGCTAAGCAGGGGATCAGAAAAGATTGACTGCTTTCATTCTCTCCCGTGGAGTGAGAGTACAACAATGGCTATGGTTTCTCTCAAACGCCTGCTGTGGACCAACTTGCCCTGCCTCAACCCACTCCAACATCACTTGTGCATATTTAGTGGTCACTCCCCATCCCGTGCCCGCTCCAGTGCTTGGCAACCATGCACCTGCCTTCCACAGACTCACCTGCATCATTCATGGAGAGTCACGCACTTTGGAGTCCTTTGAGACTGCCTGATTGACCATGGTGTGCTGTCCTCCAGATATTCGCTCAAGCTGTCTAAAGGTTATAGCGACTCCAATAGTTTAGATGCTGCTAGCATTCCAGCACCTGCATCAACTACAACTTGTCCATCCACTTGTCACTGGGTGGGTATTGGGAATGATGCTGCCGTGAATACTCCTGGACCTCACCTGCAATGAGGCTGTGCACTCAGATCCCACTGCTGACCCAGTGGTTCACAACCCTAGGGTGTCCATTCAGCGATGGGGAGGGAGACTTCAAGATGAGCTGGAGTGGGCTCCATGCAATGGCTCTCTTGGCTAATCCTCCCCTCTGCAAACACCAAGATCCTATATGGGTGCCGGTTCCTGTCCCAGCCTGGGAAAAGCAGTGGAACATGGCCCAAGTGCTTGGATCCCTACCATCCATGTGGGAGACCTTGGATGAAGTCCCTGGCTCTTGACTTTGATCTGGCCCAGCCCATCATTGCAGTCATTTGGAGAATGAACCAGTGGATGGAAGACTCCCCTCTCTGTGTCTCTTCCTTTCTCTACTGTAACACTGACTTCCAAAATAAATAAGAAATTATTTTTTAAAAGTGCGGGGGGGGGATGGTGGCATGATAGCTCAATTAGCTAATCCTCCCCTTACTAGTGCTGGGATCCCATGTGGGCACTGGTTCATATCCCTGCTGCTCCACTTCCCATCCAGTTCCCTGCTTGTGGCCTGGAAGGGCAGGGAAGGATGGCCAAAAGCCTTGGGACCCTGCACAAGTGTGGGAGACCCGGAAGAAGCTGCTGACTTTGGATTAACTCAACTCTGCTGTTATGGGCACTTGGAGACTGAACCAGTGGTTGGGAGATCTTTCTATAAGTCTGCCTTTCAAAAAAAAAAAAGTATGTGAAAGGTGTCACGTGGAGATACTGGGTGGTTTGAGCAGAGGGTGGAATCGCTCGGGGCTTCCAGTGTCTGGGACGAGGGCAGTGGAGGCTGCAGGGGTTGGGGAGGGCAGATCTGAAGTTTTTACTTAGAGAGATGTGTGTTCTAGAGCGTAGCTGCGAATGACACCTACTGCATGACCCGACGCCTCCATAACCGCTCCCACCCAGGAGAACCCTTGTCCTTTGACTTCTGGCAACACAGCAGGGAGCATTTCCTTTGGATCCCAGCTCCCAGCATCACCTCTTCCGATCGTCTCTATTCTAGTCCCCAACACATGTCTTGTCTGGATCCCTGAACATAAACACCCTCTCCACCCCCTTCTGCTGGCTGTCTTCGTGGGGTTCAATACGGTGGCCCAAGGTGCTCACTGTTCCAGGTAGACAGAGGACTGCGCCCACACTGGCCTCAGTGACAAAGCTTTGTCTGAGCTGAGTCGCCACCACACACACAAACACTACACACAAGCATGCCTGTGTACAAACACATACATACAGATGCACATATACACACTACATGCATGGACACGTGTGTGCACACATACACAGCCCTCCTGCGACCTGTGCATAGGCATCTGGTTGACAGGCCTGCCCAGGCCAAGGTCAGCCTTTGACTTGTGCAAACACAGCAAGTTACTTGTTTGTATTTCCGAGCCCACACGAAGCATGCCCTGTTCTTCCGGAGGCAGCCTGGAGCCCCTGCTGCGGTTGTGTTTGGCTGGGCACAAAGCCCAGGAGGGGAACGACCAAGGCAGATGTGGATGAGAGGTTGCCACTGGACCGTGGGGACCAGGAGGAAACTCCCGGGTGGAAGTACGCCCCAGGGGGATGAGGGTGGAGGTGGGGCTTGAGGCACACACATAGGCTGCTGCTTCTATGGTGGCTTTGTGCCTTTTTGGGTGGCAGAGTACTGCTGTTTCCAATCTATGCCAGTGGGTGTGGGGTGGAGGGGTATGGGAGGAGTTTCCAGCAGTGCTGTCAAAAGCAGCTAGGCCTCCCTGGGCCATGTGCAGTGAGCCATATTCTTTGCTGCCAGGGCTTAACTTGGAAGATGTGAGCTGCCTGCTGTCCTGGAGTCACCAGCACACTCCCTGGCATCCCACAGCAGGTGCCCCAGCCAGAACCCCCTCTCCCCAGCCGCTCCCAGGGGTGTCTGTGAATGGCTCGCACCTGTCCTTCCTGGCGAAGAACTTGGCCCTCACTCTTTCTGTACAGGTGTTTCTCCCTCCTGAAGTTCCTCCCAGGACACCAGCTTAAAGCATCAACAGGGAGGGTCTGTGGCCGTCAGCACTGGGTGGCCCTGACCAGCCTCTCCTGCAGTCTCCAAGGAAACCAGACCCCAAGGAATGTACAGGTTCCTCCCTCTCCAGCGGGTGGTGGCAGAAGAGTCATTTGCCCACACCCTCTGCACCTGCTGAGTCTCTGGGAAGAGGCCCTCTCCCCTAGACCAGTCCAGGTCCAAGAGACCCTGAAAACTATTGTCCTGCAGGTGAGCTGGAAGACCAACTCGCAGCCTGCATCCTGCTGGTCTGGTCTGGGCTGGGGTGGGGTGGGCACGGAGCTGAGCAAGCGAGCACTCTTGCTTTCCATTGCTGTCTGGGACTTTGATTTTAAGAGGAGGCTTCTTTGGACTCACAGTACGGGAGATCCAGGCGTGTAGGCTTGCTCAGCCTCAAGTGGCAGCCACCACTGCCCCATGTGTGGCAGAAAAGCCAAGGAGGATGTGGGCGCATGTGAAGGAAATACCACATGGGGAGTGGGAGTCAGTGGAAGACAAGTTAGCCGCTCGGCAGGGAGACACTGCCATCCCTTCGTAAGGGCGGAGTCCCCTTGACCCAGCTTCCTCTCAAGGGTCTGGTCACCTCTCAACACCCTATACTTGGAACTGAGTCACCAGTACTCTGGTTAGGGGCCAACCCCAGCTACAGACCTTGCACCTCTGTTCCTCTAAGCTTGGGAAGGCTCCTGACAACCCACCCTGCCTCATGTGATCTCCAGAAGAGCACCATGGTGCTGATATGTCCACGTCACCCCCTGACCCCAAGACACTGGGGCTACGCAGACAGGCCAGGACTCAGCTCTGTCCCTGCCCCTTGGTCCTGGCCTGATCTTGGGGTGACTGCTCTGTGCCTCAGTTTTCTGATTTGTAAACTGGATGCAAGACTAGCAAGTGCCTTTAGTACTCCCTACAACACCAACTTCCTAGTGGAGAGTGAAGTAAGCTTTACCCATAAGAACAAGGTATTTCAGCTCCTCTGTGCAGTGACTTCTCTTCCTTGTCTCCCCGTCCCTCCAGTGACTGTATCCAGCCCATGGCAGGGAGAAGCTTGCACCTTTAGACCACACTCAAAGGAACATTTCACACAACACTAGGCATCATCAGAAACTGTGGGGTTGGGGGAGAAAAGACGCAGCAGGCACCCAAAACCCTGCTGGAGAGAAGTTGGGAAGGAGGGATGGCTGGTTTGTTTTTGTTTTGTTGTTGTTGTTAAAAAAAAAAACA